CTCTCCACCACTGTGGCCCTTCAGAGGGAGAGTGCGTTAAACAGAGGAAGGCAAAGGCTTTGGATCTGGATGTGCCAACCTCGAAGCCCTCCGGGGCATCGGTCCAATCGACAATGGGTGGCCTCCTCCTTCCTCCAGGGAAGGAATTCTGGTCAGGAATAAACTTGGCACCCAGAAAGTATTGGGGAGCAGCACTGCAGGACAGTGGTCTCCCTCCCGACGCGTGGATGGCTCGTTTCCAGGCCTCCCTGTCCACACTCAGTCCACCCACGAGAGGGTCACTTTCACCACGAAAAGTGTTGCCCGGTACCCAGGTGACATCCCCCCTTGTCGACTTCCAGGGCAATAGAGCTAGAGAGTCAACCCAAGGACATTTGACAGTAAAAAAGGAAGAAGAGTTTTGCAAACCTTCCTCACGCACGAGTGTTCACCAGAGCAATTCTTTGGAGAGCATTCCCATGCGGACTCTGCTCCTGGGCCACCTGAAGAACAGTGAAGCAGGCACAGGGAAAGCCCTGCCAAGAGGAGATCCCATTTCCTCTGCTCTCTCCAATCCCATGCCTCAAAATAACCCCACTAAAAGTGTTTTGCTTTATTCAGAGTTCAGTGAACGCCCACGATGTAGGAGAGGGAGGTTCTTCCAAATTCTAGACATAACAGAAGACAAACCTACTCATTTATGCTGGATGCCAGTTGCTCAAAAGAAAGCACGAGGACAGGGAAGTTCTCACAGATTAAAAAAGGAACATGGAGAATCTTCATTAGTTCAAGTCCTTGCAAATACAGGTAAAAGAGACCCAAACCTCAAACGGCTTAAACAATTAGGAAACGCATTGGCTGACCCAGTTGGAAACGCAGAGACAAGGTGGGCTTCAGCGCTGGGTGGTTCGGGGGCTCAGGTTTGTTTCATCTCTGCTGTGCTTTGAAGTGTTGCTGTCAACCTTAGGTTAGTAGGAGGTGGCTGCTGAAATTCCAGACTCCACACCCAGACTCAACCGTGCCCAGAGGAGGAGAGAGACTGGGTCTTTCTGTGGCTCTGTCCTAGGACAGGAGAAACGCTCCAGCTCCACCTCCGCAGACCTCTGCCCACTTCTCATTGGTAAGCAATGGCTCTCAGGCCCGCTCTAATCCAGTCACTGGCAAATGGAACGGAAGGGTATCCCCGGAGCTGAGGCAGGCACACAGCTCCCTGTGGGAGGCCTGAATCAAACCAGATGCCACAGGAGAAAGTGGAAATGGGGGCTTCACAGACAGCAAGCAGGGACCCCTGCAGACCATGAGAATCCATTCCTNGCTGCTGCAGGGACGTGGGGCCTGCGAGGAGGACTCCAGGCTGTACCTGGCCAAGGTGAGGAGACAGCTGCGCAAGCAGGAGCGGGAGCTCGAGGAGATGGACAGGCCCTGGGCGGTCAGGGCGCTCCTCAGACTCCGAGACTACATGGCCTCTCTGTCATAGTGTCTGCCTGTCTTATTATCTGTGCTTTGATTCTTCTTGCTGTTATAATTAGCTCGTGTATGACTTATGGGCAATAAGCATTTTCAGGTGATTTCTACGGCCAGCTTTCTTTATCCAAGGAGACCGTCTCTGTGTAGTGTGCAGGGCACTGTGCATGTCACGTAATTTCACTCTGTTTTTCTTCCTTGCATCAGATATGTCATCCGTTTTCCTGCAAGGGCTTTTACGTGAATAAAACCCAAGGAGATAAAATATTTGTCTTTTTTGTTTCGTTATAAATTGTGAGGGTAAGTAATAAACTAGCTGGGACCTGTCCGGAAATATTTGAGGTTTGCGGGAAGCAAGGTGGGTGAACTTGGACGCTATGAGAGGGTCTCGCCCCGGGCCCTACTTTATACAATTGGGTCAAGAAAAGAAACGTGCTGTTTGAAAAGCTGGTAGCAGAATTCCTCATTTTATTCATAAATGTACCCTGATTTCATCACGGGCTGTAAAAGATGACGCCCCATCCCACCCCTACGAGAGGAGATAAGGACAGTCTGTTGAATCACCTGGGGGTTCTGGGCAGGGAGTGTTATGTGTCAGCTCCCCCAACCCTGGAACGCTGAGGACCTCTGCATTCTCAGACCAAGGACCACCTCCTTCACGCAGTGTTCTCAAACCGCTCCAACCTATGTGGGTCTGTCCCTTCCTCGACTTAATGCACAGACACTGATTACCTGGGTAGCATGTGTCGGGGCTGTGCTCAGCTCCAGGAATGTAAGATGAATACCACCAGCCTACTGTACCCCCAGGGCTACTGTGGGGTGGGAGGATGAAGTCCTATAAAAACGGGGATATAAGGGAAGCT